CTGCGACTACGACTGCGAATACTACGTCTCTTTAAAGTAGACCTAGTGCGTCTACTACTACATGCGGCTGTATGAAGCGCAGGGTTAGTAGGTCGCTTGGGAATAGAAGCTGAAGGGACTGACCCAGCATCAAAGTCCTCTCCTAAGCCGGCGGCGTTAGCCAGCTCGTCGTCGATGTTGTACTGACCGTCTGATCCCCAATCAAGTGGATCCTGAGTCGTAGGACCTTCGTCCTCGTCGTACGAGTTGTACGTCCCGTCCATGATCGCGTCAATCGCATGGCCTACTTCAGAACCATGACGAGAGCTTTTGGATGCCCGAGACTCTGACTCCGAATCAGAGAGGTACTCCTCAATCCGAGCGGAATTGTCAACGACCTCGGACAACGTCGTGAGACGCTGTGAGGTGCCAGAGACGTCGATGTCTTTGGCGAGCTCGAGGGCACTCTTGAGCCACCGGTGAGCATTCTTGCTGTGGCCGGTTTTGGCGGGACGGGTGGTGACGGTGTGAGACTTGCTGCCCGAAGGCGCTATCTCGACGACTTTGGAGGTGGTAGGACCCGCTATCGACGCCTGCGAGGCGAGATGCGCATGGTCCGTATGATCTCCTTGGTTGGCGCGGGACTTAACTTGCTTGCCGCTGCGTTTACCGCGCTGTTTGCCTTTGCCCTTGCCTTGACCTTCCTTCGCACCGCCGCTGCTGCTGCCATCCTGGCGCTGCTGCTGCTGGTTGAAGTTTGGTTCGCCGTGCTTACGCTTAACGGCGGAGATCTTCTTCGCACTCTGCGAAGATGACGCCTGCTTGCCGCCTTGCTCGTAGGCAATGACGACAGACTCCCGGACGTAGTCGATCTTCATCTCCGTAAGCTCTTTGGCCTGGAGGATCGTGGTGACGACGGTGTCGTACCGGGAGGGCAGCGCATTGAGCGCTATCATCACCCGCAGTGAAGCGGGGATGTCGATCCCTTCGCCCGCAAGCTTGTCAAACGCAGCTGCGATGTTAGCGAACGTCGGGTTTGGGTGCTCGTTCGGAGGGATCCGAGCATTGATCGCTGTCCTAAACTCCTTGTAAACACCGGCGGGGGTCTGCTTGTCATAGAGCGCCTTCAGCTCGTCCCAGAGGGCCTTGCTGGTCGTCTTGTTCTTGACAGCCGCCTTGACGGACGACGTCAGGCGAAGACGGATCGACCCCTGTGCCTTCTGATCGCGCTGCAGCCACTCATAGTAGACTGAGGGATTCTCTGTGTCCAGAGTAGGCTGGGGCCAGGTCGAATTGACAATGATCCAGACCTCCTGCGCCATGAGGAAGGCTGACATGGATTCAGCCCAGGCGCGGTAGTTGGAGCCATCGAGGATGGGGACAGCGGTGAAGAGGGTGTTGGAGGCCATTGGTAGAGGGTTTGAAGTGATAAACTTGGTAAATGGGGAATACTGACAACAATGTCGTCAGCCCTCTACTCAATGACTAGTGCAGCCTTAGAGGCGCAACCACCGCTATGGTGCATGTGCTGGGGGTAGCAGCAACAGAGTTGCGCTAAGACCTGCAGCGATGTACGCGCATAGTCCCCCCCTGGCTTCAAGCCACTAAGGCGAAGCCACAGGTAAGCTGGTGCGCACACTGAGACGCAGCCAGTGAGGCGCAGTACTCAGGCAGTGACCAGGGCTCATAACCTGTTGAGCAGGCAGCTCCACGCAGTGGTGCGCCCTCACAACTTACCTGCAAGGTTGCTGATGCTTGATGCACACGCAAGTACTTCGACTGAAGGTACTGGGGATTGAGCTACGCTACTGGGGTCCTTATATACATGAGGAGACCGCTTATCTAAGCTACTGTATAGTACGTTCCCACGACATACAAGGCAAGTGGCGTAGCCATGTGATAACACACAGATGACATCATAGATGACATCACGGACCCGGAGCTTCCCATAGAACCGGTCCGGCCTGTGATTGAACCCGGCAGCCCGGTAGGCGCCTTCCTAGTTCAACATCTTGGGCCCACTCTCCCCGAGTCTTGCTGGCTACGACCGCTCGTTCGCTTGCGCCTGCGACCTCCTTTAGGACCGCGCCTCTCCCGAATATGTTTTCGCTTGTTCGCTCGACGAGCACATGCTGTCTGTGCGCCGACAAGAGTGGCGCCCCTCCTCCCACCATATGCTCGACACATTACTCTCCGCCGCGCAGTCACCCTCGCTGCCCTCCGAGTCGTCGTCTTTACCGTGCTCTCGCCTCAAATGCCGTCGCCACGCCCTTACCACTGCCGCCACACGTCTCATCCACGCCATGCACGCGGTGTTGCTTGCGTAGGCATGCCCGCCCACTTGTCTGGCTGCTCGCACTTCGTTTGTTTGCCTGCCAGTCTTGTCAAGGCCTTAGGTGTCATGTGTGGAATATATGTCTATCTAAGAATGTAGATTTCGTTGATAGAAGTGTTCGTAGCCTTAGCACGATACTCACCTCGCAATGCTACGCTATTGGGTTGTTAATGTACAGTATTGTGATGGTGTGATGATGTAATATACATGGATGGCTACTCTACTACTGAAGGTACGTAGCCGGCCACAGAGGCTAAAAACTGTTAGACAGTGAGGTGAATTAGGCACGAGTTAGGTGGGTTAGGCAGGTTAGGAGAAGTTAGATGCCGTGACGCTTTCCTGATGCCAGCGGAGCTGCCCTCGCCTCGTGCCACCTTCTTTGCTTCCTGGTCAGCTCTCTCGTTGCCCTCTATGTCGCAGTGGCCCGGGACCCAGCATAGGCTGAATTTGATCCCGGGGTGGCGTCGCAACACCGCGTTGATCTCGCGGAGGAGCCAGTCGATGAGGTAATGCGCTGGGTGTGGCTTGCGGTTCTGTACTGCGAGTAAGCACGGCGTGTTGTCTGCTGCGCACGAGGCAGCTTGCGCACTGAGTTCCTGTATGAGTAAGTGGGCTGCTAGGATGAGACCTACAATCTCGGCCTCATAAACCGTGAGACGGGTCGACAAGCCAAGGTGGTGCCGAAGTACCATAGGCTCCCTGGCGCCCGGTCTGTAGAGGACTGCGGAGGTGCCAATGCCGTTGTCTATGTCTGATCCGTCAGTGTAGACTCGGTATCCTGGTTTGCAAGCCCAGGTCCTCTCGCTGACTGCCGCGTCATCCTTGCTGTCTGCGATGTAGACTGGGAACGGTGGTGTCCACCCGGGGGGGAGCCGGACCGCTTTGATCTTCTCGATGTCGTGTGGGAGAAGGCGGTACACCGCCAAGACCTCGTGGAGTGGGCTTTTCCTGCGCTGGACAGGCGTCGAGGCGTGCTGAACATGTCGGTGTAGGGGGTGCGTCGTGGGTAGGGCACAGAGGCGAGTAGCCTCCCTCGCAATGAACCTGTCAACGAGGAGGTGGAAGGGGGGAGGTTCAGGTGAGCCTCGAGGCTATCCATTGCGGTCGTCTTCATTGCTCCCGTGATGAGGATGCAGGCCTGCCGGTGTATGCGGGCGAGCTTCTTGATCTTTCCCACAGACCCGTATGTCTGTTTGCGGCCTTCGATCTCACGCTGCGGCGTGATCCAGATGCTTGCGGCATAAAGCATAGCTGGTAGGAGCATCTGCTTGTACAGCGTGAGTACGTTACGTGCCACCAAACCGTTCTTGGGCCGCGCTAGTCGGCTGAACTGCTGCAGCCAGGTCGTTCCCTTTCGGAGCGCGTATTCTGTGTGCTGCTTGAAGGTGAGTTTGTTGTCAACGTTCACACCTAGAAATTTCACAACGTCAGTGGGCGCAACCGTTCCATCTCGTAGTTCAAGTTCTGGGCCCATGTCTGCACCCTTGAGTCTCGGATCCGCGTGGAGGAGGGCAAGTTTGTTTAGCGCAAACTTGGAGTTGCGTGTGTGCGACCACTCCTTTGCACCGCCTCGTCGCTCCATGTAGCTGCGCAGCTTGCTGTTCGTTTCGCCGAGGTTCTTGCCAACTGCGAGGACACTGACATCATCAATGAATCCGAGAGCGGAGACGTTCTGGGTGTTATCAGCACATTCAAGGAGGACAAGGTTGTAGATCTTGTACAGTAGGACAGAGAGGGGGCATCCTTGGTCGATACCACTGAAGATCTCGAACAGGTGAGAGACGAAGTCGTCGAAGCTGAGGCGGGTCTTTCGACCCTGCAGTTTTCTGCGTAGCCAGTCAACGATTACCTCTGGGATGCCAAGCTTTCGCATCTCGTTGAACAGACGCTCCGGTATGGCGCTAGGGAAGGCGGCTTCTACGTCGAGGAAGAGGATCGAGACGACTTTCTTCGTCCGCCATGCGTCGTACACAGTCTTCGTGAGGAGGTGTAGGGAATCTGTTGTGGTACGTCCCGCTCGGCCACCAAAGTGGTGGTTAGGGAACAGATGCAACCTCTCGAGTTTGTACTCGAGGGTCTCGGTGATGCAGGATGACAGTATCTTGCCCATACAGTTCATGAGGGCGATGGGGCGGTAGGATTTGGCGATGGAGTAGTCGGTTCATCCCGGCTTGCGAAGGACCACTGTCAGAGACTCCTTCCAGGCATCTGGGTAGTAACGTAGGTCGAACGTCGCCCAGAATAGACGACCGACATCAGGAAAAAGGACAATCCCTATATCGAAAAATGTAGACAATGTAGCACTCATAGTGCCATCGCAAACCCCCTAGTTTATAGCACGTCATAGCAGCCACCTCATACTGTATAGCAGCACATAGTGTGCCATAGCAAGGCAGCTGTCTCATATAGCAGGCCATAGCACAGCAACTATATCACATAGCTCAGCATATCAGGGCCATAGGAAGCCATATTTCTTGTATCTACCCTTCAGATCATACCGGTACCGTTTATGAGGAAAAGTAGTATTCATTCACAATTCTAGAGACATTGGCTACAAAGGCTACTATAATTACTATATCACCCACTGCATGAAGTAATGACACGTGGGACATCCATAGGCACGACTTTGTACAGCGTGCGCACCACGGACACGCCAATGCGCTGGCCGAGCGGTCCGCCAGAGTCCCTAGGAAAAATCTTCTTCGACGCCTGCGCGATCGCGCAGACTGCATGTTCACGAGGTCAGTGTCGCTCGATGCGCAGTGGGAGATGGGGACGGTACGCACATTCTTGGTTGACCGACCTGTACCTCGCCCTCGGGGCTGAGCACCCAGCTCGGCGGCAGCCCGACGCAGTCGTTGCCCGCGCCCCACCAGTATGGTAGCCCCTGCGCGGACCACGTGTGGATGTTGCGCCCGCGTGGATCGAGTGCGTCCCCGAGCGTGTGCGCGCCGAGCGCGAGGAGGCCGGGGAGCAAGAGGGACGGGACGCGCGGCCACGGCAGGAGGAGACGCTGGGCGAGCTGAGAGGGACGGTGTGGGGCGACTCACCTGTTGTATGGCCCTACTGGCCGTTTCATCCCTCCCTCCGTAGCCCGCTACCCTCTCCACGGCTCCAGCGAAGCTCTTGTTGCGTCGCTGGAGTCCTGCGTGGCCGTTGGAGGCGCGCTTTTCGAGCGCGTGGCGGGCCGACTAATACGGATGTGGTCGCGCGTACTACGTGCCACGTCACGAGCACGTCTCTTGAAGACAGGCTCGCGGGGTGTATTGTAGAAGCGGGGTGGTCGTCAGAGGGAGTGAGGGGAGTAGCCTCAGTAGGAGAGGTGCTCGAACGACAAAGCTTGTGCGAGGGGACTTCGCAACGCTGGCAGCGCACACGTGATGCACGTCGGGGGATCCCGGTGTGAGCGCTGAGATCTGAGAGCTTTTGAAGTTTGCGCTCGCTGCTCGCGCCGTTGTCCGTTGCCTTTGCTGCCCACGCTCCTTCCAAACGTGTCTGCGCTCTGCCCCTCTGCCTCCTTCCACGCCCCCTCTCCCGCTTCCGCTCTCGAACGAGCACGTCCGACTGGCTTCCCTACTCACGTGCACTCTTTCCGACAAACTACGAGGTCGTATGAACCTTCCGCGCACCTCGCAGTTGCCCGGCCCCCACTGACTAGCGAAGATTGCACCAGATACGTCCACGTTTGGCGCGAAGACGGACGAGCAATAGGCGGCGCGACACACGAATAACAGGTACACACCCGCGCAATGTCACGCTCGCCTGCGCTGCCACGTCGCACGAGTACTGCAAAGATTGCGCATGTTTGCGCCGTGAACGTGCGTCCGTTGCTCAAGCTGCACGCACACAACGAACTGAGGCCCTCGAACAAGATGCAACTCACAGCGAGTATGGGCCGCCACGAAGGCCTGCGCGGGATGCGCAACCGTGACTCCTCAACAATATCGCCGCTGCCACCCTTAAAAGGCTTATGGGACGGCCTGATTTACGTCGAGGTGCGTAGTATATGCTTGTGATCCTCACACACTGCCCTGTGTCTCGCCTCCGTGGCCGTGCCTTGCCTATCACTCCACACACCCGCGCGTGCTCAAACGAACATTGTGCGAGCTTGCGTGCCCCGTACAACTTGCGGGCGGGTACATAGCATAGGAATAGATAAATGTACTGCTGTAGTCTGAGATAATACAAACTGTACCTTGAGAATTGGTGTGAACATAGCAGTCCTATCGACGTGTGCTAATGTCAATGTTGAATCTCATAAGTACCGAGAGATCTACACATACAAGTGTAGTCATGACTGTATGACCGTCGTATGACATTGTATCAATAGGGCCCCGCCAGCCTACAGTTTTCTATATGCTGCTATGCGCGGTTGCACTGCACTACATCGTGCTACAGCCCCTACATGCGCGACATAGATTGGGCGGGCGCTATGTGCAAAAAAGCTTTTTCCTGATGGAGGAAGGGGAGGAGGATGTCGGAGCAACGCTTATAGACTTTGTTGGGAATGCCATCTGGCCCGGGTGCCTTGAACTCTTTCAGTCTCTTGCACGCAGCCACGATCTGGGCGTCCAACACGTTTGCGAACTCAAACACGTTGTCGGGGTAGGTCTCGCGGAGGCGCCGTGCTGCTTCTGGGGGTGGGGCGGGGAAGAATGTGTCAAAGAAGATCTTGCCCTTCTCCTCGCTTTGTCGTGTGGTGGTGTCAGAGCCTGGTCGTCGCATAGGGGGTATGCTGCCCTTCCCGCCATCACTGGACCCTGCGCGGACGAACTTGCCTATCGTCCAGACGTCACATGTGTCGGCTTCCTCGATACACGCATTCCAGTGGTCGCGCTTGGCGTGTCGGATTCGGTCTCCATACTGGTTGCGTAACATGCGGTACTCTCGGGGCTTTGGCTGTTGACTGTCGATGTGGGTGTGTGCGGGTTCATTGAGAGGTTTGAGTTTGGGTGGGTCTTGGTGGTGTCCTTAGGGCTGCTCAATCCTCAAGATCCAAGACTCATTGCAGGGTCAAGAATTGAGCCCCCGGGCTGGTGTGCTTCACCACGGATGAAGATTCCCATAGTGCCCTCCCTGACTCTGTGTGGTGTTATGACTGGATATCAAATGAGCAGTGAGTTGCTGTGGATAATGCAGTACATTATTGTACACAAGTTTCACAATTTCATCAATGACTGTGAGTGTGCACAATGATGTTGAGTGCTACAAAATGAATGAATAATGGCCACAATAACTGTGATCAGTTATGCTAAAGTAGTGAACACCAGGTGAGATATATCTTCCAGTGTGAATTAATACAAACATTAGAATGCAAAGTTACTATAATGAGAATTAAATTATTGAACATTTGACTGTAAATTTCTTTTGTCATCATTGATGTCATGGTATCACACAGAGGCCCCGTATTTTTGCCTTGTTTTATCCTATTTTTGCTCATTTTCTATGGACTTGTACGGTACGCTGTACGATAGACTTCGCCTGGAACGGCTTTCTGACTAGTCACGTGACACATCACGTGCTAGGGTTTGTCTTATGACTTGTTCATCATGTGGCCTTGCTTATGTAACTTATCGTGTGCCCTGCGGCAGCACCTAGCCACCTGACTTGTTCTGACTCATACGTACACATGACCTCAGTTCTCGGATCCAGCGTAGGTAGACCTGCCCTAAACCTAGCCAGTATATATAGGGCCCTGTACACTGCCTAGCACTCCAGCTTGTCCTCTCGGAGTTGCTAGGTAAGCACTTCACATTGTACTAAGTAGAGTGCAATGTAACTCACTTGGAGTTGCTAGCATTGCGTTCGACACTGTTAGACTGTTGTTGACCTCGGTCCAACACCTTGAGGTCAAGTGTTTCTGTTTTCAGTTCTGTTTCTAGTCGCGTCAGAACTAGCTCTGTGACAATTGCTAGCATTCAAGCCATGCATAGGACCCTGAGGTCATAGTAAGCCAATGTCCACGAGAAAAGGTTCCCATTGTATATCCAATCCAACACAATTTCTCATATTGCAGCGTACTTGTCACCTGGAAAGCAAACAGCATAGCATTTCGCAATTTTCACCAACCACTACCTAGTACACGGTTCAATCACTACATTAAAGGTGCACCTACTTACTGGCTAACAGGCTACTTAGTTCAGATCTCATATTACTTAGGCACTGGATCCACATTTTGGACGTAGTCTTTGACAGCATTAAGCCATTCCACCACTCATATTACTTGGATACTGAGGCTTTATATCAGACGTAGTCTTTGGCAGTGTAAAGCCAATCCAGAGCAAAGATCGAATCTAATATGCATCACCATCATAGACAGACAAGTTCACTGCATGTGCCCACACCAAAATAGCTGACAGGTTCAATGGATTAAGTTCCACACTGCTTTAACTATACAGTCATTGTTTGATGTGTCTTCCATCCGCAGCAAGTGCTGCATTAAGAAGCAAGTTTAACCATGTTGATATGTGGGCTCTCCCGCAATAAAGCGTTTGTTGAGCACATACATATGACCCATGTTATATATTACCCACCTGGTGACTTTAGCTAGTTCAGAAGAGCTCCAAACCTGTTCCCAGACCAACCATGGGGAGGCATCAGCCAGGACTTTTGTGAATTCAATTCACTAGAAATTTTCAAAGGGATGACCAATTCAGTTGTTATATAGTCAAGACTCTTTGACTGAGCATTGGGATTCCTACAGGTACTAAATGACTTTCCCAGGCATGCACAGAATACCCCTCCAAGAAGGGTCAGCAACAACAAGGTACTCTGTCATCCTAGTGAAGAACAATCCTAGCTGTTCACATAATTGTCAACCTATTGGATACAACAATGGCTACTTATTGAACTATCAAGTCTACTAAGCATAGTTGTTAGGTACACCTAACTTGAAAATGTCTAAGTCACAAAGCCTGTCAAGTGGCTAGCTGTAATGGTTCTGTTTTTGTTTATAGACAGCTAGTTACCGAGTTTATTGCCGAGTCAATAGGAATAGTAACCTCGGTGATAGAGATTTGTATTGCCTATACAAAGCGGTAACAAACGGTAAAATCCTCGGTAATCTTCGGCAATGCAATTACCGAGATGGCGCAAAGTTGAGCTGTAATGAGGATACCAGATCCACAATGAATACAAAAGAGGGTGGGACTTTAGTCAGTGCTGCTATACAAGTATGCAGTACTGCTCTTCCAGCTGTTTGCAGAACGATAGTCACTCGCGAACGCGCGCGACATATGATGACTAAGCGCTCCGCGCTTCGGGAAGTTGGAGGAGGGCGGCGCTGACTCCATCGCGTCTCTCATCTGCACCACACCCCACCCGCCTCTTCCGCTCGACTGCGCGCACGCTGCCAGCACGACGGCTGCGAGGCAACGATCTATGCCACGCCACCCGACGCGATCCCGTGAGCAACGGCCCTGACGCGAAGCGATGACTTGGTAGGACACGTCCGCCCTTCCAGTGCTTCGTCCAGTTTCACAACGCCACCACTGACGCGACCGTAGACTTGCCGAGCACTCACCTACGCAATGGCCCCAACATGAGCACAATATATAGGGCTCTGTGAGTACACCAATATCCGTCACTGCGATGGATCTTACGCAGGCTAACGGCTCATCGGGCGGGGGTGGCGGCCAAGGCCAAAGCTCCCGCGCGAACGCTGAGTACAATCCGTTCGGTGACAAAAGCTGGATCTACGAGCACGACGTCCCACCTGAGGTTCTCGCTCAGATCTCTCCTAGCCCTCCTCCTCTGTCGCAACCTGATCCTGGCCCTCACGAATCCCCTCTCTTCAGTCAATTTCCCACGGGGCAACAAACTGCTCTGACCTGGCAAGACCACTATCCCCGTGCTGCCTGGTGGCTGAACGCCGGCCCGCCACCTCCTGATATTGCACAACTCCGTGAAGAGAGGGCTGGGGTAGAGCGGGAACCATCACCAGTTGGACCACACAGGCCGCCAGGTACGTAATTGCTCACTGTACGTAGTGTTTGCTGCTCACCACGGAGCCTAGCGCAAGCGGTCCGGGTCTCTGTGCCCCTGGATACAATGACGAGCAGCCCGCCATATCTCCGTGACCTTGTCACCATCGACAGCGACGTCAGCTGGACGGACTTCATCGACCGGATCCGCGCACGCATGGGACTCGTCGATGAAGAGGTTGATCTTGCCTACAAGATGGATGGTGCGAAGAACTCGGACGACTTCAAGGTTCTTGCGAACTTGTTCAACATGCACGAGGCCTTCCAGGAGTACATCGGTACGAACTTGAGGGCCCGGAAGAAACGGGATCTTGTAATCTACAATCTCGTAAGGTTCTGTTGTACACTCTTGTGCAGTGCTGACATATTCAACAGACAGCTGAGCGTGATGACCGTGCGCAGCCCAAGGACAAGGGGAAGAGGGGCCAAAAGAAGGGTAGCAAGAAGGGCAAGAAGGCGAAGAAGGACAAGAAGGGCAAGAAACGCCCGCGCGAGGAATCATCAGACAGCGATAGCTCGTCCGACGAGCCATCAGACGCATCCCGGCATCTCGCAGCGATGTCCGACCTGAAGGAGCACCTGCGGTGCCACGACGCCCACTGCATCAACAGTGACAAGCCGAACCGATGGTGCTATATCGACCGACGCACAGCTGGACATGTAGACGTTGACATCAAACAGATCACCTGGTGGGCACATGAAATTGTACGTGCACACCCTGACTTGATGAGCCTTTACTGATGCTCTCGCAGGCACATGGGAATGCAACCCTCAATACACCACCGGAAGGGCAGACCTACGACCCCGTCAACTCTAAGCGGAGGGCGGTCGAACGTGCGAGGAAGGAGCGGCGTGTAGTCGCCGCAGAGTCGAGCACTGAGAGGATGTCAGTGCCGGCGATCAATCCTGCATCCGACACGAACAACGACTCTGTCGTCTTCCCTACGACCGCTGCGTTGCTGTTGGAACTCAATCAAACAAGGCCGGCTCACAACTACCCGCAGTACGAGCCACGTCTGGCAGAATTGGGGTTTTGCTATACGGTCGACTTCGAGAACTTCGACCTCTCATTGTTCACGGACCATGCTGGGATGCCCCCGGGTGCTGTGCGACCCATGCTAGAGTGCGCTCATGTCCTGACACGCCGTGCGCGTAAGGGCAAGGGTCGGGCCAAGGAGAAGGAGAATGATGTTGACATGTAAAGCTGATCAGAACGGAAAGGAATCACATGTAAATTATGTATCATTATTGTAGATAGACGTACGGAATGGCTGAACGGAAGCATAATACATGTACTAATGCCCTCCTAATACACCGAGTATCCTGAGTTGTAGAACCATCCTTTTGCCATGCTTGGCGTTGTTGTGAAGACTGCATCCCAGAGCATCTGGTACGGATCACATGTGCTGTGTCGGGTGAGAAGTTCTCTTCAGGCATAGAGGCGGTGACGTCGGAGCCATGACTTGACGTGTGAGAACATCTCCTCGATGGGGTTGAGATCTGGCGAGTACGGTGGAAGGAAAAGCAGCCGGCGACCCCTGTATTATGTATGAATCAATTGAGTATACCATCAATGTCCAAGCACACAGTACGCACCTGGCCTCAACAAGTTCTCGCAGTTCCTCAGATTTGTGAATGCTATGGTTGTCCATGACAAGGACGGAGTTTCGACCCGGATATGGGTTCATCTGGTCAAGCAGTGACTCAACGAAGCGATTGAAACCATCGGCGGTGTATGAGTGGTCCTGGATGTGAAGCTGAAGTATGCCGTCCACAGAGAGCGCAGGAAGGATGGAATATCTGGTCCGTCATGTCCTCAGCGCAAATGTGAACAGTGATACGCAGTGAAGTGCTCACCTCTTCCCTCGCACAAAGAAATCATGCTTGCGTGACCGGTTACCTGATGGTGCCCAGCCATATCTTCGCCGTGTCGAGCGTCTGTCGACCCCCGATTCATCCAGAAATACCAGCTTGTCATGTCCACCGTCAAAATCAAGTCCGACTTGCAGTCGGTACTGATCGCGCTGAGCCTCATCCCGCTCAATTGCAGGCCGTGCCATCTGGAAATGAATTTATTATCAGCGGGAAATGGTGAAGAGGCTAACTGACCGTCTTCCGTGTCCAGCCTCTACGGCACAGGGTCCGCTCAATAGTTGCTATTGATACAAGTACCTGGCGACCCTCAAACAACATGTCCTGTAGCTCGTCAAGATAGATATCTGGTGTGCGCGCTACGCAGCTCTCCAGATACTGAAGAATGACATTTATGATTGATATACCTTATTTGAGAGATATACTTACGGCTGCGTCGAGTCCATTGAGTTTCCGCGGCCGTCCGTCCTGTAGCCGCTCGCGCATAACACTGCCTGTAGATGCCCACAATGCGTATACACGAAAGACAGTTCTTGTGCTCAGCCCAAGATAGCGGGCAACTTTTTTTGGACGCAGGAAGGCCAGCATATAGACAATGAGCTCTTTCGTGGGTGTTGGGACAGATCGTCGGTTTCCGTTGTAGCGAGCCATAGGAGAGGCAATACAGGTGGACTTGATTAGTATGAGACAATGGACAGTACAGAGGTGCTACAGTACGCGGCGGTCCTTGTAACGTGACCGTGGTATGCAATGTGTGTACGGACAACAGCAGTCCCGGGGAAATCTGACACGAGAGGACAAACAATGTTGTAGAAGAGCGGCACGATGGAGTCAGCGCCGCCCTCCTCCAACTTCCCGAAGCGCGGAGCGCTTAGTCATCATATGTCGCGCGCGTTCGCGAGTGACTATCGTTCTGCAAACAGCTGTCAACTGGGAAGAGTAAGCTAAGAGTGGATTTGAGTCGGCAATGAATGGGGATTATTGCCGAGGTTTAGAGCTTTTTAGAATAGAGGATGAAGTCTGAATACAGAGGATTAGTATCCAGAGGTTGATTCCGAAGGAATGGGCTTTTTCGGTTTTGAAGTCACACAACAGAAGTTGAATGGAAGTCTGAACAGCTAGCTTTGACTGCACAGTGACAATGGCAAGTTACAAAACCCTAATGTAGCAGCGCGAGGCCGTGCTTCAAGAGGGGCTCACTAAGGCAATTAATCCTCAGCCAGCTAATGGCTATAAGGCTTGCTTCAGTGTCAAGTGAGTTGCTGGTTAGGCTAACCACTTTAATTATAGTAATGCCACTGAGACGTGCTAGTATGGAACTAGTTGATACAGAGATCTATTGATGTTGGTAACAAGTTTTCAGAATGAGATGATGACTAAGCACCTTCTCTTACTGGACCCAACTTGTGAAGTCAGTCAATGAGTTACTTAAACCTTACTAGTAGCGCGAGGACTGTACTAAGTAAGGTTTCACTGTCGCAGGTCTTAGAGCGCGTCGGTAAGAACTCGGCGAGAGTGGTTGAGTGGCTAGTATGGCTAACTTAGCACTCGGGGCAAAGTAAGAGTTTGAGTGGCACACAGGGTGTGTTTCAGTGAAGAGTAGATGGTGGATTGGATGATAGATTTTCTTGACTGTGCTCGGGAATGCCCTTTTATGCCATTACCGAGGACACAGCCAATGGAGCTACATGGAAGTATATAGAAAATCAAGGAGTGTCGTAGAAGTGTATAGTACATGTCCTTGACTCATTTACACCACTTCAGAGGCCATTCTAGGAGAACAATAGGATCATAGCCTTACACTTCATTGTTTCCAACGAGGCAAGCTATGTTACCGAGTCATCCTAGTACAGCCACAGTACAGCCACTGTTTCAGGACTGTGATTCCCGAGGCATTACCGAGGCATGCAAGAGTCCGCATTTTCGGTGTACAGCCTAAGGATAGCACAGCCATTCAACACAGCTTCGGGAATGGCTCGGTAATTGTCGCACAGCCATTCCTTTCTATGCCGATACAAAACCATTATAACTCGGTAATTGATCGGTAATAACCATCATTTACCGAGCATACAATAGCTCTTGTATCAGTACTGAAGGCATCTGGTCATAATGAGTAAGAACACACTAGAAACTCGGTAATAGTCCGTTTAGTAGATACAGTAACAAGTGTTTCTAAAGCATCAAAACGTCGGTAATCAATACCTTGGTAATAAAACAATGAAAGCGCTACATTGATGTCCATTGAGAGGAATAAAGGAAAAATAAGGAGAGTAAGATAAGCACATAACCAACCTTCACTGATGCAGCCACTTGGTAAGTAAACACTTCTAACGAGTTTCTGTGCACTCTGAGGCTATCAAGCCTCTATCCCTAACACTAGCACCAGCACATGACTAACAGCAAGGACGTGCCTTTTTGGTGAAAAGTCTACACCTACCATTCAAAGCTAAGTGTCAGCTGATCATGGAGACCGTTCCGGAGAACCAATTGACTCATCCGGACTTACCAGTTGTGACCAAATCAAGACTAATTAGTTCAGTGTAAGGACAATCAGTATGCGGGCAGTCGACTGAGGACTTGACTTGGGTTATTGTTCTGCAATAAAATATTCTAGGACTTCTAGCATGTATTTAAACACTGTCATAGTGTACAGAAGAATAACACTCTCTTGACATTCAATCCATTGGTGTGAGCCACTTGATCATCCATAGCCCCATCCATAGCCCCATGCTGGACAACACTAAGTACGATTGTACTTATAGCTGTGCGCTAAGTCAATTAGTCTTGACCCCTTCAATAGTATAGCCTTGCACTACTTTGAAGGGTTTGGTAAGAGTTAGCTTCACCATAAGAGTTAAAGTCGGGTTCGTGCATTAGTGGCATACCTCAATGTTTGACACAATGTGCTCAACATAACCTGAATCAACTATACATCGCTTAACCAAGTCGATCTCATTCTCTAAGTCCGTACTCACTAGTGAGCCACTCAAAACTTAGAGAATATTTGTTCAAGCAATCTTCACACTCAATTGACCGATCAATCCTAACTCAATTACAACTCCCACTTCAATCGTTGTATTAATCCTCTATACAATGAGACAATCCTCGGTTCTAAATTTACTTAGGTGTATATGACTAACCAAAGGTTATTGTTACCAAGTAAGTATTTGGTAAGTTAGCAACCCTAGTCCATAACAGTAGTTAATGAACCAAATACTGCAAGTACCAATTTGGACTGTATACTGTTGCCAGTTCCAGCACTACCCATGGATTTCCAAGCCGCACAATTATGTCCACATAAGTACACCCAATTTCTTATGTTCCTATGTCTTACTTCCACATGAGCCTCCACCAGAGTTTCCTCTGGCTTCACCCTATTCAGGCATAGTTAGTTCACCATCTTTCAGGTCCCAACATACATGCTCTACTGCAGAGCCATCAAAGTTCAGGTCCAGGCCTCAATGCTCCCCATGACAGGGATCTTAACTTTCACTTTCATTATGCGCTGATGGGCGAGTTCAAAGCCCAAGAGCGGCTTGTAGCCCTGACGAGTTTGAAGCCCAAAGAGGGGCTTGTAGTCACATCCACCTTTTGACAGGCACTGTAGCTCAGTTGGTTAGAGCATTGTAGGCCCTATCAGAAGGTCACTGGGTCAAATCCAGCTAGTGTTGCTTTTCCTGGCCAGGTTTGTGAACTGATGCTACGATAATCAATTATTCCTGGCATACCAAACAAAGGTGAGGAATGCACCTCAGCCAAAAGCACAAATGGTGTATTTAAAGTGAGTGTCTGTGAAATGAAGTGCTACTGTAGTGAGAACACACTAGCAAGGGGCAATAGTGAATACAAGGCCATGCAAGCAAAAAATGGCATAAGTTGTTCAATACATGTGAACCTGGCAAGCCATGCTATGGAATCAATAGCTTCCTCCATGGTGGGTGGCAATTGCAGTCAGTATGCTCACAAGCAACCAGCAATCAATGGTGTCAATGAGAAAAGCTGGTCCATCAGGGGTACCAGAGCCATATGTCTGCCATACAAGCTGCGACAGATACCCTGTTGGGGTCATTCCTAAATTGAAGCAGGTCTGCCAGCTGACAATACACTGCTGCAGACAATACCTCTGAGTGTTTGTAGGACAGATGTAGTCACTGTCATTGTCACCGACAAAGGTGATCTAAAAATGACAACACAAACAGGTTGTAAGTGAACATATTCACAATTTTAGATGATGTCATGTACAAACCTGGATGGGTTCACTGCTGACAATCAAATCAGAGCCTGTTGCAGCAATTGCAAGCATACAAGATTGGAAGCTTGGAGAGTCAATCTTGCCCAGCTCAATGAGTTCAGAGTTGAATAGCCCTGCAGCTCACTTCCTCTCAAATGATGCATGACAACATTGACAAGGGATCCCAGTTTGCTGCAGGAAGTCCTTGAAAGGATTGGCAAGCTTCATGGGACCTGAGTTGGGAGCATTGGGATTGAACAAACTGGCAGCAAAACTGAGTGCTTGACAGTGATATTGAGGTTGTCTTGCAGCGTCACGTACCCAGTGATTTGTGTTGAGTAGCTTTGAATGATGAGAGCAGTCAGTCCACCAGCAAATGCCTGTGCAACCTAGAAGCAAACATCTCACCTCAGAAGGCTACAAAGCGTCATAACATGGCTTGACACACCGTGGATATGTTGAGGACATTTCCCCAATCCAGATCTCTCCTTCAGCCACCTGGCACATGATACCCTGCCAGGGGTGGTTTGTCTGTCTTGTCTCTCTTCTTCTTTTCCCTCAGTTGTGTTACTACCCCATTGACTGAGGTGAGATATCTTTCCCTACTCACTACACTATGCAATACACTTACCATAATCTCTGTATAGTTGCTGACGGCCGTACATGTACCTGAATATAGTCATGTTACCCCATTGACTGAGTGGCTTACGGCTATACAGCTCTTACAGGACAGGGTAAGACCATTTGCACGGGGCAGGTTGAAACCTGAAAGAAAGGCATTGCTACCTAGCAAGGCCCAATACAGCAGAATTGGGGCAAGGCCAGCATGACTTTTGGCATCCCAATTTGCATAGTGGGCAACCTGCAGCACACTTCATCAGAATCACCACAAGAAATACCAGTTTTGCAAACGATGACTCACATCAATTCTAGCATGGACCTCAAGACAGTGTGCAAATGATGTGAGGTTGTCAGTTGGGCTCATGTTGTCTAGTTCAACAATTCTTGCAGCAAGGCAAGGGTAGAAATCTTCCATGACCTCCCTTGTGATCACTGCAAACTTGCAGCCATTCAGGAGGTAGATGAGCCAAGCACCATCAATGTTACGCGAAGCGTGACACCTAGAGCACTAGCTCTCAACCTAACCCTAAACGTAGGGACCTTAGGTTCTAATCATCCTTGGATGGGGAGGATGGTCAAAGACGCTGCTAAGTCCGTCTAGCAGGTCGAGTGGGGAGTTTCTGATATCCAAGGAGCTGGTGAAGCTTCAATAGATAACCAGGTCGAACTGAGGTTTGACCGCTACTGTACACAGGTCTTATATACATGGGGAGTTCAGGGCAGGTCCTGGACGAGTCACAACTACCTAGCCAATAGGAGCACGGGGGAGTGAGTCATGACGAGTCAGGGACAGAGTCATAAGTGATGAGTCAGGTATGAGTAAGAGAGGAGTCACGACGAGTCATACTGAGTCAGAGATCACGTGAACTGCCCCGGGTTGGACCAGAGCGAACAGCGAAGGAGTCCGAAGACTGGAACCGTAGCGTCATGGGGTTGGGCCCATGTTAGGATAGTACACTGCTCGAGTGCAAATACGGGAAAACAAACGTTGACGTAACAATCAATACCTGAGACAGCCAGCCCATTGACAAGAGATAGCCCTATGATTACTCCAATAATTGCAAGTTGTCATCTGCAAGATTGATCAAAGCTGCACAAGGGAGGACAGGTGAGAAGTTGTAATCCCTCACCAAGTTGTGCTGTTTGAGATGACAACAGATATTGTTTGAAGCCAGCAAGTAGGATTGTGATAGTCTGTTGTTCCAAGTCATCTCCTGAGGATACTGTAATCAAGTGCCCATGTGAAAGAGCCTGTACCCTGTTCAAAGAATGATGATCAGTCAGAGGTTCAATCACTCAATGGACAACTTACACCCAGAACAAACAATCTTCAGTGAGGATTTCTGAGAAATCATGGTTGGCTGCAGCCTGACTGAGCATGTCCTTGAAGACAACTGCACAGTGTGATGTATCAGTACCCTGGACTTGCAGGTCAGGAGGGGCTTTGTTGCCAGAACAAGCAGCCTCAAAGACAGCATTCCTGAGCTCTGCAAGCAACTGGCATGGCCAGGCAGGGCTATAGTATGGCCCCAGGGATGGCTCAAATGGAACTGACCAGGGCAGACAAGGAGGTACCAGGGAAAGGAAAAGGCTAGGCTGTGTGCTTTCTGGCCAAAGCCGATGGCTGTGGTACAGCAATGGCTTCAAGAGAGGTAGCATTTGCAGGTGAGAATTGAGAACACGGGATGCAGAGGATCAGCTTACCAGGTGATCTCGTTGTGGGCGGGGCCCACGGGCTGAGGCCAGAACCGCCGGAAGATGGAGAGTCAGAGAAGGCCGGGGACGTTAGCTGGGAGACAAGGATCGGGCCGCGGCAACAGGACTGGAACGGGACGTCTTACGAGGTGATTCGAACGCGGCACAAGTCAGATCTATTGAACTCCGCAAGCTGTTACATGCCAGGACATACGGGTACCGGGGGGGACAAACCGGACGGAGGAAGATGCTACTCGTAAGGGTTCAGTCACGGATTAATTCCAACGGGGGAGGGATGTCTCGCACGTCACATATGTCCTCTAGACGGCCCGAGATGGAGACTACTTCGCGCATCACGGACAGCTGGTCGATCCGGGCCTCAGCCAGGCCGCGGTGGAGGTGGCCAAGCTCGAGGCGGAGGACATCCAAGGAACGGTCCGTAGCGGCAAGGATGCGGTCCCAGTTGTCGGTTGAACCGCGGAGGGAGGAGAGGCGGAGGGGAGGATCGTTATACGACGGAGGAGGAGGGGGTCGGGCTTCTTCCGCGGCGGCTTGCTCCTTCTGAAGCTGGTCCGGGGACCAAGGGATGGTCGCGTATAGGAGCGGCGCCTCGTTCTGCTCGGAGCGGAGGTTGAGGAACACGTGGTCCAGGTGCTCGATAAGCTCGCAGACCTCGGGGATACCGGACGGAAGGGGGATGCGGGCGTCGCCGTGAGCGGTCGCTAGAGCGTAGGACTCGAAGAGCATCCGCTGGGGCAAGGCAGACGGGTCAGGAGGGACGAGGAGAACGACGGAAGGTGACGAACCACGAGCCAGCGAGCACCATGAGCCCAGGCAAGCCAGGCAGTGGCGTGCTCCACGTCGAACCGGGGCTCGAACGTTCCTTCGCACTGGAGAACCTCGATTAGACGGAGGTAGCGAGCGGAGTGCGACGAAGTGGTGGGGTTCGGGGGCTGCACCATCGGTATGGGAAAGAAGGCGTGAGCGGGAGGAGAGGGAAGAGTGGGGGCAGACCCGGAGGGAAGGAGGGAGGGGCACGTGAGCTCGGCTGAAGGAGGATAAGTAGCGGGTCGGAGGGAGCGGGAGAGGACACGTAGGAGCCACTCTCGGACGCGGACTAGGACTCGGACTCGGAGGCTCTCAACTCGGGCAGACGGCTTGGAAGGAACTCTCTATATTTTGCTCTCGTATAGACTTGTCTTCTGGACGATACACCCGTCACATACACCTAATACCACTACCCATCCTTGACTAAAAATCTACCCTTCCTCCTTACCCTGTACGGAGGGAGCCGAACTCAACAGCACACATCGTGTTTCTTTGCTTACAACCAAGGAAAATGATTTTGTTCTGCTTGTGAAGGTTGGAATTGTGACTATGTTGGAGGCAAGTCATCAAACATAACCCTGCCCAGCCTTGGTCTTGTGGGAGGAGTTGGGCCTAGGACATCTTTGATCTCCTTGTCAGCATCAATTGTATCTACAATACACAATTCACAATGAACCCTGTAAACTTTGGGCACAAGCCCTGGGTTCATGTTATCACAAGGTAGAACACTGTAGAAGTGATCTGAGATGCAGGTGTCTGGGCAAGGAAAACTGCCTGGTGGCACATCCGGCAGACAAAGCAAGACTGGGTGACAAGCACCAACTAACACAAAGACATGGCATCAATGTGAGTCTGCTGTACAACAGACACATATCATAGGGCCTCATTATACATGTGTTAGTGTGATAAGAGTGGACATAAGTAGTGTTTACAAGCACTATTAAGGCAGACTATATGAACTGTCTGTATTAGTGTTGATACAGATTGTAACAAGTGTTTACACACTTGTTATGACTTTATTATGAAGTCAACAAAACATTGATACAACATATGAAAGAACATAAGTAAATGTTGTATTGAAGTAAGTGAATGATAGTAACTGCAAGTCAGTGAGTCTATGAACGTTGAGTAGTGACTATACTATGGGCATACTATGGCTATAAGGATGTGATGAAGTAGAAACTCTAAGCTCATAATAATGAGCAAATAGAGAGAAATTTCACTAAGTCCAAGATGCGAGAGCATGTGCGTTGTTAGAGTTGAATTGTAATGCCGTTACTATGATCATAATATCAA